GGTTGATCCAAGAAGCGCATGAAGAGGCCATAGCAGGCTTCGGCGCTGGGATCGATGGAGAAATTCCCTGAAGGACAGCGGCATTCATACGAGCCTTCCAGGTTGACACAGGTGGCCAGATGCGGGCAGGTGGCGCCTGCCGCGCACTCATCTGAATCGGCGCACACTAGGGGCTGGCCCTCAACGGGCACCCATTCTGCAAATTCATTGCACACATACGTGGCTGAAAGCTCTGGCGAGTAGTTGTCTGCGCACGCCAGCTGCATCAGGGAGCACAAGACGCTTGATGAGAGCAGACACAGCTGCCAGCGTCCTCAGCGATACGTCCAGAGATCATACCGTGCACGTGTCGTTGAAGTTGGTGTCGGCACAGCCGCCTGGCATCAGATGAGGAATAGAAGGCCCGCTGGTAGCGCAGCCATTATGCACGTACGTGGGCACGCAACGCTTCGTGTCAGCATCGTAGACAAGTCCCGATGAAAAGCAGCTAGTTCACCATTGGGCAGCGTGGACAAGGAGAGCCGCAATGGCATCAGATCAACATGGTTTGATGTGCATTACCGAGACGATGGCAAGAGTCAGCCATCTCTGGTCCCAATTGAGCGCAACACGTAGGACTTCTCACCTGAGGATCTCATCTGCATGGGTGTTAAAGGTGAATCCGGTCAGCGAACCGTTGATCAACGACATGTTGCCGTACACGTAGGTAAGCTCGCGATCAAGAAGGCTGGAAGTCTCTTCCAGCACAGCATCCACGGTAGATGCTAGAGAAGTTTTAGTTACGAGGGTGGTCACCAACTCGGCCACTTCATGTTGGTACGAAGCAAAGGCAGAGGCATTAACCAACGCCAGACGGGCTGCTGCCGCCTCTGCGCCCGTCGCTGCACCGATATCAACAAATGAGTAACATGCACAAGTCGAAAGTAATGTGAAGGCATTACACGCCTAGTTGGCAGACCATTGGATAATCGATGTACCAAAGAAAATCTACAAGCCCTGGCAGCAACCCATTTCTTACCCGTGCCCACTTCATTGGCATAGTCACGCATTGAATCAACAGCACTTGCTAGCGCCACGCCAACGTCAGTAACACTCGCCTGTGCTTGTGCGTACAGGGGGAATTTGCCCGATCGATTGAGCCGAGAGCAAGTTTAGGAACCGCGAGGCTGCGCGTGGAAGTCACAGTCACAAGAGCCAAAATGAACACGGTGCACGGACCTTTTGAGCCAGCTCAAGGCTGGAGTTTTGTGCAAGTTGGGCCACGTCCAGCGCGACGGCTGAGATGTTTGCATCTAGAGCAGTGCGAGTGGCCTCAAGTTCCTATTTCCAAATGCAAAGTAAATTCAAACCAACAAGAATCAATGAGGAGCGCCTGAAGACGCAAATACATTGGCCAAACTAGGCCGGGCTACAAGGTCGCACAGGAAAGACCCACCATTTGCAGATCCATGCAGGTTTGATTGAGAGTTGCAATGGTGGCATGTGCATCCGCGAGCGAGGTTTGCAAAGCCGACAAAGCGGCCAGGATATCCACTGTAGCTTGTCCTTGCTCAACCAGGAGACCCTGCCATTCCCCGGCAAAGCATGAGGAAGTTTGGCACCTGCGCACCCATTGCCGTAAGCGTGAGCTGCGCACTCCTACCTTGGTCGCATCGAGCGTGAAGAGCAAGTTGCCATCATCAACGGTCATGGAGGGAGTCTCTGCTACATCAGCGCCCGCACAGGCTGGCAGGAGAGGAGTGGGCAACAGCACCACGAACAGGACGGTGCACCACCCCGTCAGGGCCGTCGAGGGCAAGCAGGCTCTCATGGCCATCATCCTAAAAGATGGTCAACCAACCCCTATGAATATCGTGCACACAGAGAGACACGCACAAGCCACTGATTCACGCGGCTTTTGCCGCACCTTTCTCCCGCCCTGACACTCGCCTTCGGCTCGCCGCTTCTTCACCGACCTGACTCAACAGAACAATGGAACGAGGGTGGGAGACATCACGGATTTGCAAGGCTCCGAAGTACACACACAAACACTCACTCACCAAAATCTCACACGAATTTTTGGATTTGTGACAAAACATGTTGTGAAAAGCAAAATCAACATCAGATCAAAATTGCTTTTTGAGGCATAGATTGCTTTGAAGAAAGGCGGCAGACGTGGAAAGCACCCAATGAGCTTGCGCCCAATTGGCTCAATTAGACCAATAAACCTGGACACAGACTCAAACATTCTGACGCCATAAACAACGTCGACGAGTCGAGTACACGACTACAGCTCAATGAGCGGCGCCTCCTCAGTCTGACCCGGCGGTCCGCCGGGCGTTCCAGCACCATGACCAGGTTGAGGCGGGTAACCTTGGTGAGGCTGAGGCGGCTGCTGGACAGGCTGTTGCTGCTGATGATGATGATGATGTGGGTGCTGGGGCTGCCCATAGCCTTGATAGTGTGGCTGGCCAGCAGGTGCGCCATATCCTTGCGGTGGCATTGGTCCCGGGGCAGCGTACTGCATGCCACCCATGCTTGATGGCTGTTGCTGATGATGTTGATGATGCTGGTGCTGAGGCTGCTGAGGCTGCTGAGGCTGCTGAGGCTGCTGAGGCTGTTGTGGCTGCTGAGGTTGCTGATGCGGATGTTGTTGCTGATGCTGCTGCGGAGGCAGCTGCTGAGGCTGAGGCTGGTACTGCTGGTAATGACCATGTTGCGGCGGCTGGCTTGTGTGTGGTTGCGGTGGCACTGACTGTGGGCCACCATAACCCCCAATTGAACCGTGGGGAGGCATAAGTGCACCGCCCTGCTGTGCCGCTGCAGAAACTGACGGGTAGGCACCCGCGGACTGCTGAGATGGAGGCATGCCTTGTGGGTGCCCTGCAAAGCCAGACCCATACTGATTGGGACTTGAACCCGGTAGTACACCGCCCCCCTGAAAATAAAAATCAAAACAAAATCAAGGGAAGATGAGAAAGCATGGATATGGTTTGAAAAAGAAAAGAAAAAAAAATGATGGCGTCAGCGATACAGCTGAGAAAGCTCAACCCACCTCTGCGCCCAGCATCATTTGAAAGTGCTGCTGTTTGGCTGCCAAAGCCTTTTCTTGCTCCACCCGCTACATGACATGCCAAGTCGAATGAGCTGTCGAGCTTCCACGCATCCAAGCTTCCAACATAGAGCATGCACGCGCTCCAATACCTGGCGTTCATATTCTTGTACGCGTTGCTGATGCAGATGCATCTTTTGCATCTCTTGATCCCGCTTCTGTGCCTCAAGCAGCTACAAGAATACAACACCCGTGAATGAACAAACAGCCGGAAGCCCTTGTTCGAGCATGCCCCACCACCCGAGCCAAGGAAAGAAGAAGACGGCGAGCAATGATAATTGGCCACATGTAACAAGCTCAGCAAGGTCGCGGTGGACATACCTGCATCTTTTGCTCCATCATCATGCGGTCATAAGCTTCCTGCTCGCGTAGCTGCCGCTGCACACGCTCGTGCAGGAGACGGTTTTGCTCGTTCAGCTGGCGCCGTGAGTCGCCGTTGCGCTCATGCAGCTCCTGGACCCAGCCGACCCATAAGAACAGGTGAGATGCCAACACAGAAAAGCCATGCAATCGTCAGCAGAAGTTGCGATGACAATCAACATGATTCGAGAAAGAGCTGGGCCAGACATGCTTCCAACACGACGCACATAAAGACTTAAGAAGCCATCACGTTCATCCTCAAGCGTGTCCATGCGCGAGAGCAACTCGGCATGCGCCTCCCCTAGCTGCCGGTGCAGATTCTGTGCCAGGGAGTCGCCGGCCACACCGCCACCTTTGGACATGGCACGGCGTAGCTTATCTTCGAGCTTTTGCATCAACTGACCAAAGCCATCCATGAAAGCATCATCTAAGGCATGCCAGCAGACCAAGGATCAGTACCCAGAAACCAAGCAGAGCTATGCAAAAGAGCAAGGTGTGAGCAAGGCCAGCCATCTTACGCTCAACAAAGAGTGCTGCATCATTTGCCTCTGAGACGCTTTGGCGAGCTCGCGCCATCTTGTCTGACGCCGTTCCTGCACCCATTAACCACGGAAGAGAGTTTGAGGCGCCGGCTGCGGAGCGTGTTCACCACAACAAGCTCGCCAACATCTCGCTCGGTGACTGAAAAGAATCAAAAGCACAATGCAACGATCCTCCAGCATCAACACACCAGCTGGTTGCTCACGGGCGAGCTCCTGGGCCGATTGCACCTGGTGCATGGCATCATTTTTCTTGGTAGTGTTGATTTCAGTACGCTTAGCTTTGGCCCGAGCCACGTACATGGCCATTGGATCAGAGTCCACCGAGTCAGCCACGCTGACGTGATCATACACCGGCGCTGATGGCTCAGCCTGTGGAGCTCGGCTGGTCTGGGGACGGCTTGAAGAGCCTTGAGAGCGCACTTGTGGTCGTTGCTGCGAGCGGCAAACAACACAATGGCCTGATGAGCAATGACATTTCAAGCATGTGCGGGGTGCTGATGCCACTGAATAGGGCATCAAGGGGGGCTTGGCATGGTGTGGTGTGCACGCACCGATTCAGCTTCACTCAGGGACAAAGCCAGGGCCAGTTGTAGCTCCTCATCCTCCTATCCCGAAAGCAACAAATACATTCAGAGCCTGGTGTAAGATTCGAAAACACAGCAGCTTGTAAGAGCGTGTGATTACGCACACGACGCTTGGTCTCTTCTGCAGCTGATCTGTTGCGCATGGCGTCTGCAGGAGGCTTGTCGTCAATGGTCCCGGCAGCTAGGGCCAGGCGCACCTCCTCTTCGGGGCTCAAATTCTAATGCGCCAAGCACGTACAATGAGCTTACTCGCGCAGTTGAACATCAATCAAAGGTAGGTGAGGATCAGCTCACTTGATTCTGAGCAGCAAGCCGCTGCATGAGCTCAAGGTCCGAGAGGTTGGCTGTGTCCGCACTGCTGCCATAGGCTGATGCACCGTTGCCTTGCTTGGCATGTGCCGGAGGACCGGTGATGCCCTTGGCAATGTTGTCAAAGCAAATGTCGCAGACGCGAACTTTTTTCTCAATGCCAAAAGCAGGTAAGGTGGCCTCCTGCCGTAGACCAGCACAAAAAAAAAACATGACAAGGGCGTGGCACATTGGGTATCAGCGTGCCAGAGAAGCACAAGTGGCATAGGTCAAGGCAAATAAGAAAGGAGCACAATGTAGACAAAAACACCAGGCCCGAAATTCAACTCACCTTGGACGAGCACTTGTGACAGAAGATCTGACCACAATTCCGGCAGTGATGTTTGCGGAGCAAGGTTGTGAAAGGCCGACGACAGCCAAAACATTTGGTATCATCTTTCCACTCGGGCGGACGTTCGGCCACAAACATGGCTTCCCCCTAGACGCCAGGATCACGGCAGCAGGCAAGGGCACCATGGAAATGATAAGACCGTCAGCTAACGGAGGTAGCCACAGACAACCTGATGTGGGCAAAAATGAAGGGATACACAGCAGCAAAGAGAGGCTTCGCAGGCCCGCTGGGGTGATCTGATAGCCATACCAGAGGGTCAAGCTCTGGAAACGGCCAGCCCTGTGCTTTGAGGTTGTTGTAGACCTCAACGACGCAGCGATAGGCAGGCTCGCGCTTGAAGGCCTCGGCCCAAATTTGAATCATCTCCAGCGCTTTAAGGCGAACTTCTGTATTATCCGCCTGGCATTGACGTACGCATCGATGGATGAGCTGGAACGAGGCCATGCTTTGTTTCCAAATTCAAGGGCAAGATCAGAGCGAGCAGCCAAGGTCCATAAACATGCGACGGCGAACCTTGATGAGTTGTTGCATTTCTTTCATGCATGCCTCAGTTGCCACTTCACCTTGCGCACCAGCGCCGCAGTTCTTGACGACCATTTCAAGTAGCTGGTTCAAAGCACCCAACGTCATTCCAGCCGCACAGAAAGCAAAAGGAATGGCGGACACGTTGGTAAAGTTAAGGTGCAGCATCCAAGGGACAAAGGCAGACGCTCACCTCGAGCGTCCGGAGCTGGACATTGGGGTTGGCATGTTGCAGCCGCTTGCGGATCAGCTTGACGGCATCCTGTTCGCTTGAGCCACTGCGAGAGCTGAGGCGAGGCATAAACGGTGGCATGCAATGTTACAGTTACAAACCCGAAGCGGCATGAGCATGGCGCGACAGAAGGGTGACCACGCTCGCTGCGATGTGACGAGCACAAGTCGAGCCGCTGAAACTTGGTCAAGGGGAGAAGAAGGAAGTTACGCACGCAACAGCATTGGCTTTGATCATGTCAATCACCCGCAAGTTTTCCGACAAGCTCATCTCCAACAAATTTTCGGAGGTGGCCGCATCAAGCTGCTCTTTAAACGTCACCATTATGCCGGTGGTGTGCAAGGTTGCGAGACCACGCCAACACCAAAACTTGGAGTCGAATTGACCCGGTCAATGTGGACACTTGACGATAGGCCAGTAAAGGTCTGCAAAGAATGACAGCGCCAAGCGCACCAAAAGGCCCCACCACCAAGACCACCCGCACACGTGAGGCACCGCGATGCAGCGAGTCGGGGCCCTTTTTACCAGACGAAATTAGACCAAGCCCATCCCGGCCGACAGCCACAAGACCAAAACAAGCAGGGTGCGTTTTTGAGCCGCAGAAACCAGCAGCGGAGACTTTGACATCCACCGCAAAGTAAAAACATGCACACTAGCCAATGTGCCGCGAACCCTCGCATCCTCACGCCTCACACGCACCGGGTATAAACGCACCAAAGTCGCTCCTTCACTGAGCACACGCTGCCGTTTCCAGTTCCGAAAAAAGCTCCGTCACTGACTCTACACACACAAAACAGAGAGAGAAATTGAAAGGTAGCACACGTACACGTCAGTCGTTCGCTTTCAAACGATCTCTCTCTCTCTCTCTCTCTCTCTCTCTTACACACACTCTCTCTCTCTCTGAATCTCTCTCTCTCTCTCTCTCTCTCTCTCTCTCTCTCTCTCTCTCTCTCATTTGCCGGGTCAAAGTGTATCAACCGGTACACTATCTCAAATATCCCTCCCAACCGCACACACACATTTACTTTAGATGGCGAGTTTATTCGATGTTGCCGGTTTGTGTTGGTGCTCTAATACCAGTGTTGCTCGGTCAGCCTTTTGGCAGCGCATGCAGGTTTACGATATCGACGATCACACGAGGAGCAGGCTGGACCTGGCCCTGACTGTCCAGTGCTGCCAACTGCTATCAGCATAAGGCAACGTTTCACCTCTATCTGCGACAACCGTACACCTCTTTCGTGGTGGCCGGGTCGCAGTCAACAATCAGGTCATAACACAACCGGCCACCCGGGCAGGAACGATGCTGATGTGCCGGTTAGGAGCGCAATAAACACCCCGGGACGATGGCGTCCGAGAAAACGTCGGTTTTCAAGCCGCCGAAGCCTAGCAATGCGCCGCCGAGCTGGCTAAACCCAAGTCGGCCCAGCTCCGCACTGCCTCGCCTGGGTTCCGCGGGCTCTGCTCGCCGGGGACGTGTCAACAGTGCTGGACCAGCGGATGCTGAAAACATGCTCCCCGTCCCCTCAGCCTCCCTGACCCGCCCGGGCACCACTATGGGCCGCATGCGCCCCACCAGTGCCGCAATCACACCCCGCCCGGGCAGTGGTCTGGTATCACGAATCGGCCTGGATCGCCTTTCATCTCCCAAGCGGCTTATCTCTCGCAGCGCCTCAATCTCTTCTGAATCCGGCATGCCTCGACGCCTCCACCCAATCGACACCCATGACAGCTATGACAGTGAACCGGACACCGACCCGGCCGGCCGTCGACCCAGCCTCCCCGCCATCTCCGAGCCCAAACCCAACGTACTGGCCCAGATGCCCATGATTCAGGGTGGCTCACGCGCCGCCTCACCCAGCGCTGCCTTGACCCCACCAACACATGTCGCTCAAACCCCCGTGACTCTGGCTCGAATGCAGAACCGTCCGCGCTCCACATCCATTCCTGCAAAGATCAGTCTCAATACATCTTCGCCTGTCGTTGCGCAAGTGGAACCGTTGGATGAGGTGCGTCCCTCGGACCCGATGGCAGCTAGCCCTTCCAGGTATGGCCCACCCATCCACTTCCCTTCACCTCCGGCCCAATGCTTGTCCTGCAGAACGAAGCCAAGCCTGGTCAGCTCTTGCTCTCTCGCATGGCCCGGCGCGATGCGCAAGACAAACAATTTGCCGTATATCTACAACAGCACAATGTTCGCCACATTATCGAGGTATGCTTGCTGCTCAAGTGTTGACCTCCACAAGTGGGATCGACACGCCGCTGGCCCTTGACCTTGACCACAATGAGTTCTCGGCTGACATGTCTGTTGCCTTGCACAACCGCGCTCCCTGCACCCTTCTCCCGGATACCTCCAGGCTCTCGTGACAGCAGCTGCCATTGAGCGCCCAGATGATATTTTATCCTTCTTGCTGGATCAGGTTGAGCACATGCACTCTCGCGATGATGCCATCACTTGGTAAGCCCTATAGCGCCCTTGCCGCTATGTGGCACCCTTGTGGTCAATGCTCGCCTCGGAACCATCAGTTCAACTCCATCCCAGAAGCCAATATTTTCATCGCGTCTCAATGCCTTGACTGTATTGCAGGGACATGCTAGTCGATCCTGAAAAGCGACCGCCACGCCGGGTGTTGGCGTACTGGATGTTTAAGCCAGAAGACGAGGATGATCGACCGACTCCGGAAATGTACAAGCTGGCCTACCGAGCAAATCGCAAGCGCATTCTACAACCCTGCATTAAGATGTGGTTTGCGTGGTACCGAAATCACAAGCGCCTCAAACTTGAGCTTCTTCGCAAGATGGATCTAGCCCTGGAGCACTACCATGGTGTCATCACTCGCAAGTACTTTCAGCCGCTTGTTCAACACCGGCTTGATATCAACGAAAAGCGTCGTGAGGTCATCTTTCGCATGCGAGGCAAGCAACGCGGCAACTTGGTCAAGGTGAGAGCGTAGGCTTCCCCCTCTCGTGGTGGGCACCCAATCACGCCCACCATTCTTCTTCTTCTTCTTCTTCTTCTTCTTCTTCTTCTTCTTCTTCTTCTTCTTCTTCTTCTTCTTCTTCTTCTTCTTCTTCTTCTTCTTCTTCTTCTTCTTCTTCTTCTTCTTCTTCTTCTTCTTCTTCTGTTTGATTTTGAGTATCATTTATGTCTGCGTTTGGTCGAGACACGCGAGTGCTGATCGAGATGATTCTCAACTTGCTCTGTCATGGGGGGGATTGTGCTTGCATAGACCGTCTTTATCGCATGGCGCAGCTTTACCAAACAAGCCAAGGAAACTGCTGCTTACTTTGAGGTCAGTTCGGCCACATGCACCTTCGTCAAACCCGCGGACACTAATGCAGTTTGTGTGTTTGTGAGCAGAAGGTCATTCAGGACAACGCCATCGTTTCGGATGGCATGGTTCAACAAACGGATCTTTTCTCCATGCTCAACATTGCCGTGCGCCTGAAGGTGCGTGCTTGCTAGCACGCTCTCGTCTTGGGGAAGAACGTCAAAGATTGTTGCATCTCATGGACATGAACTCTCATGACTGGCGTTGTCACCCATGCCAGATTTTACGCAACCTTGATCTACGCTCCAGACTGGCTTGCATGCAAGTCTGTCGTGCCTGGCGCGAGGTTGCACAAGATCCTACGCTTTGGGAGCGCCTTCCTTTCTGCGAACTCTATCAAAGGTTAGCGCGTGTCACCACATGGCGGCGGTGGCGTCTGCTCGCGTTTGAGACTGAGTTGTTTTTGGACAGGCTTTCACGCTGTTTTTGTGCTACGTTGTGTGTGTGCAGCACAACAGATGCTGCCGTCCACCGGCTGGTCACCAACTTTCGACCCTTTGTCAATACGATCAATCTGCACAATTGCAGCCAAATTAGCAACCGCGTACTCCAGTCTATTGGACAGGTACGCAGACTCACGCAAACTTATCTCAAGAAAGGCATTAGCGGCTAACATGACTCAATTGGCCTCATGCTTTACCGGCGGTTGTGCCACAGTGCCGCAATCTTCAAGACATCAATTTGTCCAACTGTCGGAACGTGCGGGTACGTTGGTCATGCCGAATTTTGCCACCGTCTTGTAGCTCCTTCATCATCTCTTGCGTTCTGCGCGCGTAGGATGACGGCGTGCGAGCTCTGGTGGAAGGATGTCCAGGGCTGGTCTACCTCAATCTCACCAACTGCAGCGTCACGGATCTAACCTTGCAGTACGCCTTTTTGCTCTTGCTCATTTGCTTTACTGCTCGTAGCCGACTGGCATCTTTTTAACGAAATGACACGTCGGTGCTCTCTCGCTATGTACTAGATTCATTGCCCGCTTCTGCTTTGGCCTTTCCTACTTGAGCCTTGCGGGCTGCAGCAACCTCACGGATCGCGGCCTGCGCGAGCTCAGCCAGGGTAATTCGGCGGGCAACCTGTTTTGGTTCAACCTGAGCAGTTGCGCCTCGATAACAGACGATGGCATCGTGGCCGTGGTCGAAAATTGTCCAGTCCTGACGACCTTGGTCTTGAATGACCTGCCAAGCCTCTCTGACAAGGGTCAGGCCTGCACCTGCCTTACCGATCGCATAAAGCCTTGTCGTGTTTACACTTGGCTTGTACATCGCCCTGGTTCATAACAACCGACAAAACTCAACGATGGCCTTGCACTGCGTGGCAGGAATATTCGCCATTGCTGAGAACTGCCATCACTTGGAACGCCTTGGGTACGGCGCTCTCTCTCTGTTTCCATGTGCTCGACCCCTCGTTTCTCCGACATTTGAATCGGGTGCATCACACTTTTTTGCGCTTGACTTTTGATTGGTGTTTTTCAACTCGACACTTCTTTCGTTAGACTGCAGTGCTGCGAGGGCATCACGGATGCTGGCTTGACGGCGCTTGGAGCCAGCTCCAAATCTCTCCACGAATTTGAGCTTACTGAAAATCCCGTCGTGACGGCGCAGGGCGTGGCAGCCTTGTGTCATGTCCCGTCACTGCGCCGTATCGTGCTCTCGAGATGCGACAAGGTCAAAGACTCGATTGGCCTGGCATTGGGCTCGCATGCGCTCGAAAGCCTCGATCTTTCCGGTACGTGGTCAAGAGCAAGCGCTGCCATTGCAAAGCTCTCTTGCAACGACGTACTCACCTTCTCTCGTTGGGTGATTAGACAACCTCTTGATTGGTGACGTGGGTGTTCGCAATGTGGCTCAGGCAGCCGCGGCACCCTTGTCACTCCGGGATGTCGTGCTTCGCAACTTGCTGCGCCTCACAGATACAGGTCAGGCGCATGTTTTTCAGAGGCAAAACTTTGTGTCCTAGTAGATCCCCATGGCACGCCCTGATCTTGTGTTACCACTCTAATTGGTCAGGTCTGCGACACTTTGCGCGCGGGTGCACGCGCGTAGTGTCGCTTGATTTGAGCGGATGCACCACCATCTCGGATGGTGGTGTGGTAGTTGCCATGCAGAACATGCCCAAACTGCGCAGCCTCTCCCTCCAAGGTACGCTGCAATGCTGCCGCACCAGGACAACAAAGATATTGGTCATCGTGTCCTTTTTTGGGGGGTGCCAGCTCTCACGTGCTCGTGGACCCGTGAATTCAGGCTGCTTTCATGTGGGAGATGGCGCGCTTCAAGCCATTCAGGTACATCCCCGCCCAGGGTCGCAGTGAATGAATTTGGCGCGCAGTGGGAAGCACACCGCGTGCACGAGATGCAATGCTTGGCTCATTGCGCTCTGGTTTGACACAGCTTCATGGCGTGGATCAACTCGAGTGGTTGGATCTCACTGATTGTCAAGGAGTAACTGATTTAGGCATTGAGGCCGTGGGGCAAGCATGCCCGCGCCTGCGTGGCCTCGCCTTGACAGGACTCTCACAGGTCGGTGAAAATGCTGTGTTTAGAACCGGCTTGACCGCACACCCAAACCATATTGTCGTCGCCGGTGTCCCGGGCATACAGTTGAAAGCACCGCTCGCTGCGTTCTAGATCACAAGCCATTGCTTCCAGCAGTTGGCATATGGTTGCCCTCGATTGAAGTGGCTGAGTTTGGCAGACTGCCGACGCGTTGGCGACGCTGCTGTTCAGCGCCTGACGGCTGGTTGCACGGCGTTGCAGACGCTGCACCTTTTTGGATTGGCTGCGCTCACTAACGCAGCCGTGGACCTCACGCTACGCTGTCATAGTCTCACAGTCAGTGTCACAGCTTGACGTGCTTGAGCTCTCAGGGCCGCTTGGTGCGTGTCTCATGCGGTCTTGTCTTTCTGTGTGCATAGGAAGTGAGCTTTTCTACGGCCAGCAACATTACGCGGGACAAGGTGAGCCTGGGGAGCAATCGAAAGCAGGAATGTGTCGATAGGAGACATTAGCTGTGTGTATGTGACAAACGGGGTTGAGGACCTACTCATGCATGCACATGCATGACTGTTTGTCTGATGCGTTTAGATTTTGGGCGTGCGGGCACGCCATCGTCGCGTACGCATTTACTTTGAGGCCTTGCCACCCTTTATTGAAATGCCCTGGCCTCATTCAGAGGCCTTCTTCATGCCTGAAGGCATGTCCTGATAAGTTGAAATAGCTCCAGGATTGGGCCTACTCGTGCTAACGACCTGATTAATATGTTATCCATGCTGTTTATTCGAGCATATTTATGCGTAGCTTAGAGACGTGAATCCATTTCCGACACTTTCACTGGTTGAATATGTGCGACGGTTGTTGCAAAACGTCATGACACGCATCATTGGGAAAGCAAAGTTGTAACCTGTCGGATACATATCTTCAAACATCGAAGGTTATATTGTGGGTTTGCATGTTTGTTTGGAAAATGTGTAGACGTTCTCAAGCTCTCAATCAGAATATCAGAATAAACAATCCTGGGACTTTAAGGTTTACACATGGAGCGTCGATAACAATGGCGGCATTCAAGTCGATAAGAGCCACGAGGAAGGCTTAGAACGAGGCAAAATTAGGAAAGAAAAAGAAAAGGAGAAATTGGGAAAAAAAAAAAAAAAAAATACTTGACATGTGTGAATTAATATCAAATCAATTTTGACGCAGATGTGACTTTTAAGCAAGGCAGACTATCGGAAGGCCACATTTAATTACTGGAGCTTGGGTCGGCTGTCGATGAGTTCCTGAACAACAGAGGGGTCGGCAAGCGTCGAGATATCGCCGAGCGAATCTTCTTCATAATGTGCAATTTTGCGCAAAATGCGGCGCATAATCTTGCCTGCGTGGTGCGACAGGATGGTCGTCAGAGGCGGTCTTTGCAAAATTAGACCGTCCCGAGGCGGAGTGGCCTGGGTTACTCGAAGAGCAGAGTTGGGCATGGGACCTACCCGAGCGAGTCTTTGGCAAGCCCGAAGTAAAGTGAATAACGTCAGGTGTGGCGAAGGCGCCAATCTCCTGGCGGATGTGCATCTTCAGCTCCTTCTACAGAAAGCAAGAGTATTGAGAAGAGCGTCAAAAGCGCAAAGAGTGCAAGGCAAGGTTCGTGCCAGAAGCGGTGGAGGGAGCTGCTTGAATTGGCGGCCCGAGCACACACCTCTTTGCTAACATCTGTCTCGACTCCAGGATTGGTGATCACGTAGGCATGAATGCCCTCACCCTGACGGACCATGCAAGTCGCATTTACAGATTATGAAGGCGGATCCAGCTCGGATGATCATGCCTAAGCAACCATCCGTGTCCAACCTTGATCTCATGAGGAACGCCAACAATGGCGGATTCAGCGACATCGGGATGAGTGGTCATGGCACTCTCCAGCTCAGCTGTGCCCATGCGGTGGCCAGAGACCTGCGCGAGCAATAAAAAATGTAAAAAATAAAAATAAAAATCAAAAGCGCAGGGGGTGGGATGGAAGGAATTTCTATTTTTAAGCAAGCAAGGTCATTTGGCCTAAGGGCCGTAGTGGCAAGCCGATGCCAACAAACCGTGATAACGTCGTCCGTGCGACCAGTGATCCAGCTGTACCCATGCTCGTCGCGGTGAGCACCTGCAAAGAGGGTAGGTGAGTGGGAGCAGCGGCTTGATCGGAAAATGTTATGGACAGGGCTACGTACCATCGCCCGTGCAGTAAGCACCGCTGAATTGGCTGAAATAAGTCAGCTCAAAACGCTCGTGGTTGCCAAAAACCGTGCGCATCTAAGACAAATAAGCCCAGTCATCCACAAGGAATGACGACGATTGATCCTGGTAACATGGGACGGCACATGCATACATACTTGGCCAGGCCATGACTGCTTGATCACCAAATAGCCTTCAGCCTTGCCTGACAGTTCTTCACCGGCTTTGTCGAGGATAGCAGGCACAATGCCAAACATGGGCAGGCTCTATGTCGATGGTAAAGGGTAATGAGTGCAAGTCATCAGGAAACAAGTCTATGGCATGAATGCTCAGCATACCGCAGATCCCGGCTTCATGGGGGTGCAGCCTGGGAGCGGGGTGATGACATGACCTCCCGTCTCCGTCTGCCAGTAAGTGTCCACGACTGAGGCGCGCTTGTTGCCGATGACTGTGCCACATGTCCCCCATGCAAACACAATCGTGAGAAATAATTTCAAAAAAGAAGACGAGGGCCGTGACAGAACCTGTCTGTCGAGTCTCACCGTCATGGTACCAGATCCAGGCCTCGGGGTTGATGGGCTCGCCAACAGAGCCCAGGACGCGAAGGCTACTCAGATCATGGCGTTTGGGCATTTCTTCACCGAAGCGCTGCAGGGATCGAATGGCCGTGGGTGCTGTGCCGATGGGTGATCGCGCCAATATCCAAGAGCAGTGCATCGCCGTGTCAGTATGGGCGTGCGACCCGAGCTGTTGAAGAATCTGAAACAAAAGCTCCAAGTACAGTCAAGCGATCAAACCTGTGTAGAACGAGTTGACCTTGTACTTCTCGACAATGGCCCAGTATCGATCGGCCTCTGGATATGTTGGGATGCCCTCAAACATGACGCTGTTGAACAAAAGGGTAAGATAGCTATCAAATTAGGCACAGCCGCAACAAAGGCTCAAGTTGGGGGAGCGGCTCTGCTGACCTGGTTGCGCAGTTGAGCAAGGGGCCATAGGCAATGTAGGAGTGGCCTGAAAAAGCACAGTAGGAGCAGCACGGAGGTTAAGGCGGACATGATATTCGCGAGACTATCACACCACTAAGACGAGCGGCGGAGGATGACAGCGGGCTAAAGCGTCCGACCTGTGATCCAGCCAATATCAGCCGTGCAAAAGTACACGTCCGAGGGATGGTAGTCAAAGGTGTACTTAAACGTGGTGGCCGTCCAAACCATGTAGCCACCGTGGGTGTGCACCACGCCCTTGGGGCGACCCGTGGAGCCGCTGTCACGATACGAAACCAACAGATCAAGTGAGAAGCATCGAAAGAAGATGAACGGTGGATATTTGACAAAGAGCAGGTTGGCACCAACCTGGTATACAACAGAAACAAGATGTCTTCGGCATCCACCCAGAGAGCTGGGCACTCGAGTTCAGCTGATTGATGGGTGGCGGGCGAGTAAGGAGTCAGCAGTCTTCAAAGAGCGTGCGTGGGTAGAGCTTTTCGTGCAGTATGGGTGCGTACTGACTGACCAGTGGCTTCCAGTTCGTGAAAAAATTGATCACGACCCTGCACCATGTTCACAGAGTGGGGCGCCTTATCACCCGAGTTGAGACTGACGACGCAGTGTGTAACCTCAAAGCCGCTGCAAAATAAAGATACCAAGAGCGCCATTGTAACCGGCGGTCCACATCAGGGGCATGTACAAGCGCGCATGCGTTTGTGTATATATGCGGCTGGCCTTGACAGACCGAGTTTTGCATTTTTCCATCGCTGTGTCCGCGATACTCTTGAGGTCAATAAACTTGGTGCCGCGGAAGGCGCCATCTAAAGTCAAGAGTACAAAATACAGACCATCGCTGAAAATTTAGGGGGCATAGGCAAAGGGGGAAAAGAAAAAGAAGAAGAAGAAGAAGGAGAAGAAGAGGAGGCAAAGTAAAAACCTGAGTTTGAATGGGAAACAGGGTGAGACACATACCTGCAGTGACGAGAACGGAGCTGCGAGCATCCATGATGCGCTCAGAGAGTGCCTCGGCACTGAAGCCACCAAACTATTCGAGCGGCACATTGATCGTGGTACAGTGAGAAGAGAGGACCACGACAAAATGAGTACGAAGAAGTGTGAATATTGTTTCGAAGAGCAGCTTGGGGTGGCGTACGATGATGGAATGAGGCGCGCCGATGCGGGCGCAGGCGAGCATGGCGACCACAAGGTCTACGATCATGGGCATGTAAATGGCAACAGTATCGCCCTTCTTGATGCCTAGCGGAACGGGTGGCGTCAATAGGAGCCGCAGGTCATGGGTGGTAAGTGTGAGTGGCAAGCGGTCACTACAATCCACGGTCGGGTGGCGTGCTTGGGGAGGTATTCGCACCGAGGGCTTTCAAAACGTTGGCAAAGCGCTGGACGCGCTCGAGCATCTGCGAGTACGTCACTGTACGGGCGTCAGCAGGCTCATTGCCCTCCCTGAAACCAGACCCGGACGACGCATGCTCTTGATCAGCTGGCACGCTCCAAAGGCTCCAAGCAGTCGGCGCGCGAGGATCGGGGAACAACAAACCAAAAGAAGGCCACGCGATCGCCGTGTCCATTGAGAACGTGGCGGTCCAAGCAGTTATAGCAGATGTTGGTCTTGGCACCTGCGACACAGCGGGCAGGTTTAAGGGGCGAAGTGCGGTTTTATGTGTCTGAGCAGTACCAATTTTAAGTTAAAAGCGGGCTAAGGGTTGGCGGCAATCCAAAGTGGGTCGTAAGTGAACTGTTGCCTACCATCAAACCATTTGATGCTGACCGGGCCGGCGTTGCGATCAAAGTTGCTGGCGTGCAGCGTAGTCCAAGGCTCTTCCCAGTGAAATTGCTTGGCAATCGGGGTCCAAAAAGCTTCCTGAAATCAGCCTCGCCAAAACGTCACGAGTGCGCGCGGAGACACATGAGCAAAACGAGGCCATCATTGGGTCGGCAATGTGCCGAAGCGGGACTTTGGTGATCAAACGTCATTTCATCCTGCCAGCACGTGCATAGAGCAAAACAAGGACGGGGTCCAGGGGCCACGCACCGGGTCGTTAATACTCTGCTCGTACATCTGGTGGTACTGCTCGATGGACTTGATATGAGCTTGCTCACGGACAGTGGCCGTGGGCTGGTAGAGCTGCGGATCATGCAAGATCAGCAGGAATCCAGGAAGAGTACCGGTGCACGTGAGCAGCAGTTGGGCCACAGATCGAGTGGGCAGATGTGTGTTGGCGTCAAATCCATGGCAGAACATCGACGCCGGGCATGGTGCTGCAAGCAAGCATGTGCCAAGGCAGATGCAAGAAGCATCGCACAGCAGGGGAAGGGGCAGGGAGAGAGAGGCAGCAGCGGAAGGCCAGGTTGACCCTTGCCCCACTCAAAGACTCGAGTGGGGGGGAAACCAGTGACATGCATACAGAGGCAGTCTGGTCTCCTTGCCAAGGTGGTTCAGGTTTCTTGGTCCCCACATGCATATGTGAAAGCGGTGCGATTGTACGCAGCATACCTCATGATCCTCGGTCGGAGCCGCAGCCAGATTCAGATATGGCGCTGCCATTTTTCCTCTTTCGTTTGAGAGACAAGCTCAACGGCAACATGCACGCAAAACGAAAATGAGAGAGATGATAGAGAAGAAGAAGAGATGAGAGAGAAGAGAGAGAAGAGAGAAGAGGGATGAGGGAGAGAGAGAGATGAGGTGAGAGGGAGGGAGAGAGAAGAGAGAGAAGAGGGAGTAGAGTAGAGAAGAGAGAGTAGAGAGAGTAGAGAGTAGAGAAGAGAGTAGAGAGTAGAGAAGAGAGAGTAGAGAAGAGAGAGTAGAGAAGAGAGAGTAGAGAAGAGAGAAGAGAGAAGAGAGAAGAGAGAGAGAGAAGAGAGAAGAGAGAAGAGAGAGAAGAGAGAAGAGAGAGAAGAGAGAAGAGAGAGAGGGAGAGAAGAAGAGAGAAGAGAACAGATCGTCGATGGAGATCGCGTGACGTTCTGACATGTGAAGGGGCAAACCCAAAGTGTGACAATTGTCAGAGGGTCGCAGAGACGGATTTTTAGAGCGCGCGCTTTCACTCTCTCTCTATCTACCAATTTCATCTCTCTCTATCTCTCTCTTGCTGTCCTCGAGGGTTCCGGTCGCAGACGTGGGCTCCACGACGTTGCGAGTTGGCTGGCGGCCGCTTCTGCGAGTGCGCGGCAGTGGTGGGCAGTGACTGATTGTTTTGTACGTTGTCGCTGGCTGCGGGCGTGTCGCGGGGGTAGTTTTGGGCTTGCGACGGCTCGGCGATGAGAGTTCGATAGTCTGGCCACGTGCCGGCTTGGAGTGATCCAGCCAAGGGCGCGGAGCCTGCCACACGTACCGACGCTCACTTTTGTGCCATGCTGGATGGTGGACCCCTTTTGCTTGGCCGTTGATCAGTCGCGGCTTTGCGCCAGATCCCGCCCCACCTGCTCGAGTCTGTGTAGAAAGGGGACTGGCACCTGCCAAGCAAGAGACCACTCACAGCGGGGCGGTCGATTTTCCTTGCTTTGACTTGTAGCCTCGCTCTATCATTGGCGTTGACTAGCTACTGCTTATCGAGGGCGATAGCGCCATGGTCTGAGACACAAGTGGCAGGTTCTAGACGTTGCGTGCATCTGTGTTGCAAGAAAGCACAATGTCAAACCAGTCGCAGCGCGAACTCGGCGCTCACTTGCTGGCCGGCACGCTCGCGGGCGTGACCACCCCACTGGTGGTTCACCCGCTCGACCTGGTCAAAGTGCGCCTGCAGGTGCAAGATGCTGAGCGTCTTGAGGCAGGCGCCACCGCACAGAATCAGCGCCCATACTATCGTGGGACTTGGCACTGCCTTCGAACTGTTGCACAGGAAGAGGGTTGGCGTGCCTTGTATCAAGGCGTCATCCCCAACGCCGTTGGCTCGGCCGCTTCTTGGGGCAGCTATTTTTTCTTGTGAGTTCAATGTTTGAGACGGCATGCGATTTGCATGATGCAAGGCCTCAGCATATGCACAGGCGCCTCTTGTGTGGCCCATCCTCTTGCATTGCTCATGCTGATGCCTCGCTCGCCAACCCAGCTACAATGCCTTTAAGCGCATGATGCAAGCACATGTAGAGGCGGATCGCCTCGGAAATCTGCATCATCTAGCCGCCGGAACCTTGGGCGGCATGTCCACGCTCATCATGACCAACCCCATCTGGGTGGTGAAGACGCGCATGTGTGTACAGGATGCACGCGGGCCGGAGCGGTACACGGGGCTCATCTGTACGTGACACTCGCGGCGCACATGCGCACAACCAAGCCTGCCCTTTTGCAACAGGACCTGTTTGAGCTAGGCCTTGACCCATGCCCTTGCGTCCGCCTTCCTCAGCGGCGTTATCTACTATTCTTCGGGAGGAGGGGGTGCGTGGCCTGTACAAGGTGAGTCCCACATGCGCCTATTGCAATGCCAAGGCGCTTCAATATGCACGATAGAAGCAAACTGGGTGCGGTTTCGGCACTTCAATCCTCGGGCCCGTCTCACCATTGATATCCTGGCTGAGCACAGGGCTTTGGGCCTGGCATGTTGGCCACGAGCCATGGAGGTTTTCAGTTTATGGCCTACGAGCGCTACAAAACCCGCGTCAATGGCTTTCGTGGTCGTGCTCACGATGGCCAGCTGGTCCGTGTTCGCTCATCTCCTTTCTGGCTGTGAAGAAATGTTCACTGCACCTTGTGCGTGCCTGTGCTCATGTTCGTATGCATGTGTATGTGTGTGTGGTGTTCTTGACAGACTGTCCCCGAGTATTTGGTGGGAGCCATGCTCTCCAAGACGTTTGCCGGAACGCTGACATACCCTCTTCAGGTAGTGTGCCACGGGGCACTTTGAGTCAATGCGGATAAGTGGCAAGGCAGCTCCACCTCAAAACGCGATGCGCTGGTTTAGGTGGTGCGCGCGCGCCAACAGCAGCGCCAGGCCACAATTGGCGGTACAGCGACACGCAAGTCGATTCTCAGTGTGGCCAAACATGTGCTTCAGTACGTGGATCTGCACGTAGCCAGGCCAGATGCGGGGAGAGGTGTGGGCATACTGCATGTGCCTCGAGCTCAACGACGATGGGTTGGCATTGCTTCTTGAACACACAGAAACCAAGGCGTGACTGGCTTTTTTCGAGGTCTACCTGCTTATCTCTTGCGGTATGTCGCTTCGACATGGACGCATCCATCCGCTTGCAGGCGCATCCGCTTGCGCCTGCAAGCTGCAATTTTGTGTCGCTGACCCACTCACGACACTACGGGGAGTAGGGTGATGCCAGCGACTTGCGTAACATTCCTCATGTACGAACAGTCCTCGACGATGATTAAGCGAGCCTTGGGCGTCTCCTAGTTGTTGTGCACGACCCAGCACAGCATGCCTCCTCTAAGGTCATGGTTTGTGTATGAAAACACAACAAGGCGATGCCGGTCTGATGAACCTAAGCAGCCTAAAAATTTAAAAAATTGTCCCTTCCAACGTTTCGCACAATGTGTGGCACCCTCTGGCTTTCTTGTGTGAGCACGGCGCTTGACCGGGTGGGCCGCCAAGGGCAGCACTCACGCTCTCCGACTCCGGTCGATCCATGACCTGCCTTGTCCAAGTCAGCAGCTACGTGTCGATCCAACCACTGAGTTGCGCTTTCGCCAACACCTCAACTTGCCCCACTCGACCACTGTTGGTTGGATCATCAAATCAGTGGCAGAGAGCCAAGTGTTTTGGTGTTTCTTTCATCGCACATACACACACACACACACTCTTTCTCTCTGTTGTTGTTTTAGTTTCTGATGTTTTTTTTTTTTCTCGCTTCACAACGTTGTTCCTTGTTGTTGTTTGTGACCACTGATCCCCCTTGCCCCCCTTGCCCCCCTCTTTGCTCTTCTCTCCTCTCTCGCGTCGTCGTCTTCGGCTCTTGTTCGAGCGTCTGTGTTGGCCAAACGTGCATCATGTTGGCTCAGCAAGCAATGCGTCTGAGCAGAGGGAGCGCACTTCGTATGCTCTCGACCTCCCGCCGCAGTGATGTACAGGTACGCCACCAGCTTTCACCTGCCCACCACACGATCTGATTCCGACCGCACAAGATTGTTATGTTCTGCTGATCACTCTTTGCCGGGCTTCGCGTTACCTGCCTGCTGCCTGATGGTGCTTGCATCCCATAGATCACTGTTTGCGGTGGTGGCAATGCAGCCCATGTTGCAGCCGGTAGGCTTGTGAGCGGGACTCGCTGGCATGTTGCGAGCCGCGCTCCATTGATGATTGCAATGTCTTTCGTTTAGGCATGTTTACCAAGCAGGGCGCCGACGTCAAGCTTTTCTTCTCCTTTGAGGATGAAGCCAAGCGCTTCCGCGAGGGCTGCGAGCGTAACGGCGGCGTCACTGTCACGACGAAGGAGAGTACTTACAAAGGCATGCCCATCGCCATCACGGCCGATCCCGCCGAGGTACGCACTTGTAGGGCGGTTGCTGCATGGTACTTGTCTGCATGGCCGCATTCACTGGCCCCTACCATGCAACGTCATCCTACTTGCCACCGTGCCAGGGCGTTGCGGGCTCGGATGTGATCCTTATGATCACGCCCGCGTTTGCTCACGAGCCCATTCTCAAGCAAATTGCCCCCCATGTGGCCGAGGGCGCTTTCGTGGGTGCCATCCCCGGGCCTGGTGGCTTTGATCTTCTAGCACAGCATGCCCTGGGTACGCGACAGCTGCTCGCTATGCATTTGCCATTTATGTGTACAGACAACAGCTTTTCCCTCATTCGCCCACATGGCCATCTTCGCGACCCACAGGTGACACGATGCAAGAGAAGGATATCACCCTGTTTGCGGGCACCTCCCTGCCTTGGGCCTGCCGATTCACGGCCTATGGCGAGGCTTGCAGCCTGCTTGGCTCCAAAAGCAACGTGCCTGTCACCATCAAGCCCCAGAGTGAGGACAAGGCGCAGGTAAGCCTGCTGGGTCCCCTGTTAGGTTCGGCTGGGGAGCGTAGTGGCAGCGTCAGATATGGCGGTGTGGAACCGCTCCGTGGCGACGTGCGTCCGCTGCGCTTTTTAACGCACGTGTTTCTCATTCATATTCATTTACCTTGGCCCTCCTTTGGTTTCTGTGCGCTCCCTCAGCGCCTGTCAGACATTCTGAACCAGGTGCACATTGGCACCGACTTTCCGGTGCGCGGCCATTTTCTGAATACGACGCTGTGGCCGACCAACGCTGTAATCCACCCAGGAGTGTCCTACGGCATCTGGCACGACTGGGATGGCAAGCCTCTGACGGAAGCACCGCTTTTTTATCAAAACTGCAATGAGTTCACTGGTCAAGTTCTCTCCAAACTCAGCGATGAGATCATGGTGAGACACCATTCAATCTCGTCGCCCCAGCAGCTCCTTGCACTTGCGACCCGCTATCCGTACTGATCGTTTGGCGCATGTGATCCATGATTGCTCCGGTTCAGCTTTGCAAGAAGGTCATCGAACAACGCACCGGAGCTGACATGGGCTCTCTTATGCACATCAACGACTACATGATTGATTGCTACGGCCATTCCATTTCGGACAAGTCTGCCACACACCGTGTAAGTCATCTCTCCAGTTGAACATCTCTCAAAAGCACCAGCCACTGTTGCTCCCGGTCAGCGCCGCATTTTCATCTTTACTCATTCTTGGATGGGGGGTGGTGGTGTGTAATGCTACTCAGATTTTTGCCACAAACGATGCCTTTCGCGGCCTAACGGCACCCATGACCACGCTGGAAGACGGAACCATGGTGCCCAACTTCAACATGCGTTACTTTACTGAGGATCTGCCGCATGGTTTGGCGGTGCTACGTAACATTGCTGAGCTTTGTGAGGTTGAGACTCCCATGATGGACGAGGTGCTGCTGTGGGCCCAGGAAAAGTGTGGCCATGAGTACCTCGTGAACGGCAAGATCCAGGGCAAAGATGTGGCTCACTCTGGCTGTCCAGCGGTACGTTGCCTTGCCATGTCGTCTGCGAGAGGCTACCCGCTCTGCGCCAACGGGCAGGGAAGGCGCTCGACACTTGTGCATGATCTGATTCTCATGTGGTGCATGGCGTTGGCTTGCTTGCTGGCATTGACAAATGTGTCTGATAGCGCTTTGGTATGACCACACTGGAGCAAGTGGTTGGTTGAGCGCCGAGTGCGTCTATCGCTATCAATGTAGAGCAGATGGAAGTGTACTCTTTGATATGTGTGTGTGCGTGTGTGTGTTTGGTTGCTCACGGAAAAGCGTGGGGAGGCGAGCTTTGACCTGGTCGCTCGGCTGGTCAGAGTGTGTGATGTAGCGTGTGATCAGGACCGCGCAAAAAGACCAATTCATCACTTTAAAGCCACAGCTGGCAGAAGTTTTGCCTATATTTCAAACTGACAACCCAGCTCACCCACCACACAGTCTTTACCGCCAGCCAGTCTCTACTGGCGACGACACGATTCAATTCAGAGGGTGCCGTGGGGTGAAGAAAAGCCGTTGAGGCCGATTTGAAGCAAGAGCAAAAAACCCAAAGCGAAACAAGCAAGAAAAACTTTTGCACACAATTCTCTTTCTTCGTTTGTTTCGTGTTAGTTCATAATGGATGTTCCCTCACTACAAACGGCAGCCTCTGGGCAGTCAGAAGACACGGTAATGAGAGGGAGAGCAAGCCATGGGCCAACTCACACACAGGCTCTCACCTTATCACAAGCGCGGGCAGCTTTGACTCCATCTTCCAGAGAGAGCGAAGCTGCAAACAAGAGCCATTCAGAATAACATTGATTCGCCCATGATGGTCAACGACAAGAGTCAGGATACAATGAGGAGTCAGTCAGCACATGGCTCCTGCCAACATGGGATTGCATTTCCCACGCGGCAGGTGGAGCCGAAACACCGATGCCGGCAGGATGATTGAGTACGACAATGGCGCCTTCCTGCGGGTACTTTTCCGCGTTGATGGAACCGTCTATCGGGCCATTCTTCTGCGCTGCATCATCGTGTCTTTGGTGCGTGGGAGCAACTGCCTTTTCTGCCCTTTTGGTTTTGAGTGGCTGCCCCGTCCACTTGAACAGTCTGCACAGGCTGGCTGCTGGCTGGTGCAAATTGTTGGTGCCAGTGCTCGGGCTATGCGTCATCCGTCATTCATAGGCTTTGTGTGTGCCATCTGCTCGCCGCCACCATTAGGTGGGGGTATTGGCCGGCTACTTGGAGTATGCTGGCTATATCGATGAAGATGGTGCGTGACATCTTGACTTGGAGGCCTGTTTCCCCAAATCCCTTGGCGCTCTCATTGAACGTCATGGCCGTGCTTACCTCTGGGCACACCCGGGCACGCTCTGATGGTGTTCTTTTATTGCTGGTGCCATCAACAGGCAGCTATGTTCATTCCTCGGCCTTTCAAACATTCTATCCCTTTGTGGTTGGTCATGCGGCGCCCCCGGACACAACGCGCCTTGCCATGGTTGGTCTAACGCCTCGTCCTGTGCTTGTGTGTCCACGCGCGTGCGCTTGCCCTCTCTCGATCTTCCTTCAGGGTACAGTGTTGGGTCTGATTCTTTCGTTTCGAGTCTCCATTGCTTACTCGCGATGGGAGGAAGCTACCGTCCAAATGGGAGCCCTTCGCCGTGCCTCTCGCGTAAGCACGCCTGCTGCTCTTCACGCCCCGCTTTCAAGCAGCTCGTGGCATGCATGTCCGCAGCTATGCTCATAGTGCTCTTGTGTAATCGTTTGGCCATCGCGCTGGCTGCTTGACGCACGGCTCTGCTTTTGATACTCAGGGCTTAATCAGTTGCGTAGCAGCCTATTGCGCTTGCCCGCCTGAACAAAGTGACAAGTTTGCCAAACTTCTCATCCGCCTGCGGCGCCAACTCGTGACTTCCTGTGTCATCATCGTTGCCAATATTAATGTGCGAAGTTTCTGTGCCTCTTCTTCTTGTACCTGGGCAGCTATTCTCGTGGGAGGCACCTCACTGTTTTGATGCTGCTGCAGGATCGGGTGGATCTGGAAGATCTTGTGGGGCTCGGCTATTTACCGCGCGAGGATTACGAGCGTAGGTTCCGAAATTATGCGCAGCGCACGCTCGCTTCACTGATGCTGGCTTTGTCCAATCTGACAGTCGCTTGTTAATTATTGGCCAGGCCTAAACATGGAGTCGCACATCGGCTTCTCCACGCTCCATGAGGTTTCAAAACTTGCTGCCCTATCGCGCCATCTGCGTTTGGTCTTACGCCTCGCAACCAGATTTGCCGTCCGTGTCTCCTCACGCCAGCTGTGCCCCGTAGGAGAATCAAGCTGAGTGTCAGCCGGCGCGAGTGCGACCTGCACTGATGCTTACACATATTCGCGAGACAATTGCCGAGTTCTCGCGAAGCAGTTTTCTTGGCGTCGCCAACATTAATATCTTTGACGATAAGGTCCGCAATCCCAAGGGGTTGCCTACGTCCTCGCTTGTACCACGCCCTTTGGGTTGTTCGTTTCATCTTGCTTGTTGGCTGCACAGATTGCTGATCTTAGCAATGCCTATGGAAGCATCTTGCGGATTGCAGCCAACCCCATGCCTTTCAACTATGCACACTTTCTCAAGGTAAATGTCTGTCTGCTCGGACACGATGGGCAGCGCCTAGTCCTCACATGTTGCTTGCTGTTTCACGTTCTGGTTTCGCCATAGCTGGTGCTCACCATCTACGTTTGCAGCGTGCCATTTGGCATTGCACCAGCTCTCAAATGGGTAGGTGCCGTCCACGTTCCTGATATTTCATCTCGAGAGTGATTGTCAAAGGCGAAGGAGAAGCTGCTAGCCATACAAGTCCCGGATTTTGATCCATGGAACCAGATGGCACTCTTACGCGTTGTGAATCGTTTGTGGCAGTTGACACCGTTGTTCACGTTCATGGTGGCATTTTTGTTCTTTGGCGTGGAGGCCATCGCCATCGAATTGGAGGTATGGCTCAATCCAGGCATCAAAACAAATTTGTTGATACAACACCCATGCTGCTGGCTTGAGCAGCTTGTGTCACCTTAACCCACCGTGTCCCACTCTGGCATCATTAGGAACCGCTGGGTAATGATGCCAATGATGTCGATCCCACCTTTCACCTTGTGCGAGTTGATATCGAGACAGCTGCTGTGGCATCCGAACGGTGCGTATGGTGTCTTGTGCTGGCGCGGTGGGCCCTTGGGCGTGTCGCAGATGTGTATCCCCACATTTTTCTTTGATATGTCTGGGAAAAGTGTGTTTGGCTCTTTTGGTCTGATGTGGCATGGTGGTTTGCAGCCTACGGACCCTGAATTACCCGGAACGAGAGCAGCCTTCTTTGGCGTCTCACTGGCGACAGTTGGATCTGGTGAGTGATGGGACAGGGGATGGCGATGTCTCCTATGCGACTGCCTACACACCCAGTTCGTACGTTAAGCTTGCTTGAATTGATATCCATTCTCTAGCTGCCGCCCGACAAGCGCGCAACTCCATCGCTCCGCGGCGAGCGCTTGGCTTCTTCGACCACACCGCTGCTCGCACGGCGCTTGAGTATGAGCGGCTCCAGTGCCAGTCTGAATAGCTCTCTTGCCTGAGCACCTTCAAGGGAAAACACAAAGTGTCGCACCAGCAGGCCCGTGGGCCCTTTTGAGAAACGCATTGAATTCCACGGGAAGGAAGGCGATGCAAGCACCACCTTCTCGTGCCTCATGTTTTTGCTGACGATGCCTCTGCAACATCAATTTATCAAGTTTAGGCCCTCTTCTCCATTCATCTCAGAAAACAAGACGGTGCACAGGGCTTGCAATCTTCATGCTTTGGCAGGTGCACTTGCCCGAGAGGGCGGGTATCAATTCGAAGGCACGTTAAACAACAACGACGCAAGATTGGACAGCACAGCACAAATGGGACAAGCAACGCAGGCGCAGAATAAGTTCGTCATAAAGACGAGGCTACTCGCACAAGGGAGAAAGAACCTGAGCAGCCAGACCCTTGAAAGCCGCTGGCAACAACTCTGGAAGGGCACAGTAGTTGTATGGCATCACCGCGGTGGGGAGGGGATACTTGATGTAGGTCTTGATCAAAAGCTCGCCCTAGGTGAGAGGAGTAGGTCAGGGCAGCCCCAGTCAGTGCCAGCTGTCATTTGCGCCGTTGCCTCCCTGAGGACAGTTGTTGCAACGATCAGCAAGCGGGTCAACCTACGAGGGCTACTGGACTGGGTTCTTCACCAGGCTGCAGTTTGCCGCGGACCACAAGATCCTCTTTAAGGCGCCGCAAAATTTCGCTCGTCTAGACCATGCATCATGTGAGAGCCGGCCAAGATGCACAACACAGATCAAGAGAAAAGAAGTTTGGTTGAATGCAAACATCGTACGGCCATGGGGGGTGTTTGACGGTAGGTCTCGCGCTCAGTCTCATCTGCAAAGCAGCGCGAGCGCCAGACGAGCGCGATGCGGAGATCACTAAAGCCATACTCCTTGATGATCTTGTTGTCAGACACGACCTGTGTCGGGGCATTGATGATGAGATGCAGTGAATGGTGAGGCAGGCCAAAAAAGACATTGAACTGCCGCACTTGCTTGTGTGTGGTGCATTTATTCATCCCAGCGCCAGAGAAAGACCAACCTGCCAGCCCTCCGACCTTGTAGCGGTGGCGGGGCGATACCGAACTTCGTTGGCTGAGCTCTTATCCATGCGGGGCGGGGTGCGATCGCCGTGGGGGTGAAACAAATCTGTTCCGTGAGCGCATTCGGCACCATTCAACAGAATGGCACTACCCTGGCGAGGGACAAAATCTGCAGGCGGCAACTGCTCGCCAGCGGTGTAATGGAAGAAGGAGCCGCCAAACTCGGCATTGAGTTCGGCATCGCTCATGTTCCGTGCCTGAGGAAAAGGTGACATCAAGAGCGTTAGTGCGGTCAAAGGGTGCGTTGCTTAGTGGTCAAAGGGCGAGGATGTAGCATATGTGTGAGGGATGGTGCTGCGCACCTTGGCGCCCCAGTCATGCACATAAGCTACGCCCTGGATCTGGGATACGGTCTCGGCTTTGAACAAGCCCGATCGGTGCATGACCACCAGCAACCACACGGGGACGGTCCAGCGATCAGCACCAAAGAACCAAGGGGCGTCAAAGTGCATGGCCACCTGGTGAGATGAGGAAGGGTGCAGGGCGTCGTGTCAGCAGACCGAGACGACAGCGGTATGGGAAAGAACATTTTTCGTTCTTCTTTGGCGGCGTGGCAAGGTAGATGCAGACATGCCTACCTGTTGTCCCGGAACTTGGACAATGATACCCAATTGAAAGGGGTCGAGAAGAGGCTTGCCAGGGCAGATGAGATCAACAGCTTGGCGGTACTCGGAGCTGTTGAAGAGCGAGTCATAGCCCGGAATCATTTTGCGGAGATCCTACAGTATAAAGTAGATCAGTGTGTTCATTTGAGATGCCAACGGACTGGCGCAGCGCACATAAGGCCAGCAGGATGAGTTCAGTGGACGTACCTCTTCTGTGGAGCCGTGCTCGCCGATAAAAAAATGCGAGAAGGAGAGAAGGCGGTTGACAAGGCGTTGGTAGGGTTCTTTCAGTGCCCGGCGGCCACCCGTCGCGATGTAGTGGCTAGGCACGGGCATGATGGATCAGTGAGGCCAGGGGCAGAGAATCAGATCATAAGGCACATGGGTTGAGACATACCGCCCAATGTCCATGCGTGGAGCGAAGATGCATTTGGTGTCGTTGCGATTGGGCTGCATCAGGGGATGGGGGCAGCCTACGCCAGGGATCAGGTCATGTGCTTCACCAATGTCCTCTTGGAGCGGGGTGGAGTCCTTGGTCGAGCAGCGGTATACCCTGTGCTGGCGCACGGCTTGCAAGAGGGCTTGTTCTTCCTAAATGTTGGTGGTGCGTGATTGCATTCGGGTCAATGTCGATCTGCTAGGTTGTACGCCGGGCGAATGGAAGAGAAGAGGTACCTGCGGTGTCCAGACGCGATCAATGGTCTTGGCGGGATGGACCTTCCAGGCATTGTCATGCATGTCACGCGGCAAAGCCACAAACGTGACCAGAGCGGCCAGGCCGATGAACAGGACCGAGCTGCGACGCGCACGCAACGCAGGATCACACTGAGCGCACCCGACTGCAAAAAGCAGATGCAGATGTTGACATGGATTGACCAGTAGTCTGAGTACACCTACCTTCTCAGATCGGCCATGCCGAGCGGTCACTCAAGAAGAGCGAGTAGATCAGCCCCCAATTGAATCCAGCTACTCCTGTCCCAACGCTGCACGTGCAGGACAGAGAGAAGAAGAAAAAAAAATGAGAGAGAGAGAGAGAGAGAGAGAGAGAGAGCCGACGGCGCCGATCTCTCTCTCTCTCTCTCTCTGTGTAGTGTTGCAATCACAATCGATCCCCCTTTAAAATTAAACACTTAAAGTTACATGTAGATGCTGGTCGTCTTTGAATGAGAATAAGAAGAGAAAATACAAGATGATGACGAAGTATATGTTTTCAAACGAGTAATCAATGATGAACCACGTAGAGAAGATGAAGTGAAATACAAAGTTATTGTTGTTGTGGTTATTGTTGATGTTGGTGCATGGAAATTTCGCTGTTTCACAGGAACGACGACGACGGGCACGACAGCGGTGGCGGCGGGGCGGGTACTCGGCAAAGGCTCTTTCAACGCGTGGTTGTGCTGGTGCGAAGGGGCTTGGAGATTGTCGAGCCAGATTTGCGCTCTTGACTTTGTACGCGTTGCCTTTTGCCGGTAGCGGCGATCGGCAGTGATGGCGCGGGTTGGAGCGGCGGCCTGGTTGACCGCCCAGCTGGCGGTTTGCAACATGGCGGCCACAGTGACTCGGATCGGCGGGGTCGCCGTCCGACGCTTGCATCGTCCCAGGGGTGCACAGCACCCCATGATGGACACGGCACCGCTCGAGGAATGCTCCTTCTACAATACTCAGCTGACGCAGCCTTGGGACCAGGTTTGGCCTCCACTTTGCGCATGCCTGGGCCGCAGCCCGTGCACACTGGTCTTGAGCTGCCTGTTGTCTCACTAGCCTTTGCTCTTGGTTTATGGTTCGGCAGCTCAAGTTGGCCGACACGATCCGCGTTGCTGACCTATTCCTCTCTGGCGAGAAGCAAATCAGCCCGGTGGTTCGTACGGCGACTATGCGGATGCCGCGTTCATACGCGGTTGGTGGCTCGAGCGCACCACCCGCTCACCGCTTCGTTCGTCATATGTGCGTGTTTGTAGGCCAGCGCCCAGGTGCTGCACCGCAATCTTCCCATCCGTCTACTGTTTTGCATCCAGCAATTCCTCAAGGTTTGTGGCTCTCATGGCTACCTGTCGATTCTCATTCCAAAGGCTTGGGTCGAGCGTGCATGCCTGTGTTTATACCTCACGGCGTCTCTGGTGCATAATCCCGGTGCTCTTGCACATGTACCGTGCAGCTTCCTTTCATCGTGGGCTGCAATCCACACTTTAAACACGTGGTTCGTGGGCAGTGGGTGTGGGCCTCCATGAATTTGCGTTGCAGTTCGGGCCCAGACCTGCAACAGATCGTGTCCACCTGACGTTTGCCCTCTTTTTCTGTGAAAACCTCTCGCCCTCGCGCAGCACCGCACTTACCTGCGTGCCCACGAGAACATCAATAGCTTTGGCAAGGTAAAGGAGGGGTCTCTGCCAGTGTGGCCATTATCGTGTTCCCCGTACATTGGCCAGGCTTGGCTGTCATCTTCTCACTGGCGAATGACGGGTTGCGTGCAGATTGTGAATGAGCAGAAGGAAGCCGAGTATGTGGAGCTTCTCAACGGTTTCATCGACGATCACATGAACGTCGTGGCCCAGTTGGCCCAAGGCGTGCGGGACTGCAAGCTGCATAAAAAAGCCGAAACCGATGTGCTCGACTCGTTCATGAACAACATCATCAACGAGCGCATCGGGCTCCGCCTTCTCATTGAGCACCAAGTCTCGCTCCATCTAAATCGAGAGCATCATGCAGGTGTCATCAACAAGTGCATGTCGCCAGCCAAGGTTCGGCTTCCAACTGCACCTTGAAACGGCGCCGGAAAGGCAGGGAAAAGAGGTGAACGAAAGTTGGCAATGAATGACATACGACAGCTCCTGATCAACTGCAATGGACTTTTGCTAGGTGGTCGATAAGATGGTGGCCACGGCGTCACGCGTGTGCCTCGAGACCTATGGTGAGTCACGCTTTTCTCAGAGAGGGTGCTGAAAGCGTTCAAAGATGCAACTCATTTCCATGTGTCTCATAATCTCTCGGCCTCGTTGCAGGATCGGTACCAGAGGTGGTTGTCCAGGGTCAAACAGACATTACTGTTCCCTTTGTCCAAGCCCATCTCGAATACATGTATGTGACATTTCATAGATCAAAGGGGCGCTCGACATTTGGAGACGTTGCGAACCATGCCTGGGTTGATGCACAACGCGCGTACTTTGTTCTTTAGTTTGCTGGAACTGTTTAAGAATGCCTTTCGCGCATCCATGGAGTTTGGAGATTGTACGTACACAGGCTCGGGTCATGTGCCCCGTGACAATACCCGGCGATACGCTCTACAAACCTGGCCTCGCATGCTTGGGAGGACCCATCCTTACCTGCTGAGGAATTGACTCGACGCATGCCTGCTTGCTGGTGAACGGTGCCTTGGATTAGGGTTGGACCCACCGGAGGTGGTCGTGACTATTTCTGAGAGCCGCAACCACTTTCAGATTCGCGTGTCGGACCGTGGTACGTATTGTGCAAGTGTTGGCTGACATGGCGGAGTCAAACGACTTCCATCATCCGGTCCTCTGGCTTCGTCGACCGGCCATGGTTTTGGTCAGAGGGGAGGGGGTGGTGTCCAGTATTGCGCCGTCTCCGCTCAAAACAAGCTGCGCGTCTAATGTTGGGCAGGGGGAGGATTTTCACCCGAGGTGGGGACCAACATGTGGAGCTGGTCCTTCACGACAGTGGACGAAAAGGAGCCACTCGATTATGGTCTGGGCGCCACATCGGTAGACGCCTCCGTCAAACTCGCCGGTGCGCCCAGTTTTTTGCTGTTCCCTCGCGGCTTTCCTGCCTTCGGCACATGCTCAAGTCTTGTTGGGCCTATACTTAATGATCTTTTTGCGTGTGCTCTGACAGGTCTGGGCGTGGGTATTCCCATGAGTCAAGCCTATGCCAACTACTTTGGTGGCTCCCTCGAGAGTGGGTCTAATTGGGTTGTATCTGCAACCAGGCACTCGTGTACTATCAAGCTTGCATGTGGGATCTCATGTATACCTGTTTGGCTGCGTTTGCAGTTCACTCGTTGGAGAATTATGGCGCGGACGCCTATCTCAAACTGCCAAGTAAGGCAGCACACCTCGTGGCCCGTACCCATGATCACGCAGCCCAAGGCACACCTTTTGCTCACGCATGTTTTCCCTCTGGCCTGGATGCGCAGAGCTGACGCCGTCCAGCAACTATACCATTGCCGGTCCGCATGATCGAGCGCAGGATATTTCGATGGGCGAGCCCTATGAGCTGATATAATCTTTTCTGCAGGGCCCAGGCGTCCCGCTGAACAGACTCGATGGAGCCATTGCCGTCGTGGTGATGACCATTTGTATCAATGTGTTATGAGAGTAAGCGAGTGTGTATTGATCATCATTGTCGTTGCGGTCCCTCCTTCTTACATCCCGCCTATGTCCATGAATTGAACGAGTGTAAGAGCTTAAGAAAATGAGATAGGGCCAGGCGGGGGGCGACAGCTAGCGAGGCAGAAATTTGAAAACGGAGAAGCGCAGAGACACAACCAGAGAAACAGAGCCATCACAGCGATAGAGACACAGGCAGAGGCCACGACACAAGCAAACCCAAAGCACAAAGACAAAGCACAAAGAGAGAAAACCCAAAATGTAAGCAAAATCGATCAAACAGCAACACCAACAACAACAAAACAAAATCGAGTGGACCTCTGGAACTGACGGCAGCGACGGCGGTGGTCCTGGTGCCTCCGCCTCACCCTTCGCCTCGGCTTAACCGCATTGCGCAGCCCACCTTACTCCAGCATAGACCGGTGCCATGCTGTCACGGTTGATGGAGCGTGGGCTCGGTGCAGAGGTGGACCCGGCCAAGGTGGAGTTGGATAAGCTTCGGCTGTTTGAGAATCTAGCTGGTGCCATCAAACGAGTGCGTCCTCCGTCACCGCATCCGGGTGTCGATGGTGCTCTCTCCTGACCTGATTCCTGATTGGTGATCTAAACAAACTGCACAGATGCAACGGCTGGTCTTTGACGAAGGCAAGAGGCGTTTTGGGGAAGACACCACGGTGGACATGACGGACATTACCATTGGCAATTGCCAAGAAGCAACAGCCATCTGCCAAGCCGTTGAGCTCGTGTTGGGACACGGTCTTGCGGTAAGCCGAGGCATCCGCATGCATCGCTGTGGCCGCACACAAGGCCATGGCAGATGTTCATCCTCGTCCTGATGCTCGTCGTGGTGCATGACTCTGCCGTGTCGCTCTCAACCTATGCAGAGCACCTGGTTGCGCAATGACGCTGGGATTTGGCCCATGTTGAGCCAGCTGACACACAAGGATGACATTGCGATGATTACGAGGTACGCCGCAGCACAGCTTTTTTGAGGATGTTTGCAGCGCCACTCAACGGCAAGGTCATTCATTTGACCGGGCTTCTTTTCACAAACTTGGTATCTAACACAACAAACTCCTGCGCATAGCATCCCTCGCGCGAAAAGCGATCCGATGCGTGCCCGGGCTTGGATCCGTTTTGCTTTGAACAATTCACTGCTTGCCAGTTATTTGGGAACCCTCATTGCTGATCCAGACCGAATTCGGTACGCCTCGACCCTCGCTGGATCGGTGTAGTCTCCAGTCACCATTCTAAAAAGCGCCCACATCGCTTGCCTGCAGCGAATTCTATCATCCGTGGGCCTTCATGGCGGACGAGGAGCAGACCGATAAGCTCGCCCATCTCGTCTCGAGCTTGGCATGGACGTTGAAGATCAGCATGTATGTCACGCACAGCTCCCTACCTCTCTTCGTGCTCTTTATGTCAATGAAGTACACATCGTACGAGGGTTCATCTCGTGTGGATGATGGTCCCTGCTCAAATAGCAACGTGGATGACCCAGCCATTTGCTTGGAGCCGGCCATGGGCACTGGCTCCACCGTTTCCCAAAGCGGCTCATCTGATTTGTTTCGTACCACGGCGCCGATCCCTATTGACGGAGGCAACGCTGCCAGTGGCCGTGCCGCGGCCAGCTTTGCCACGCCCGCTTACGAATGTGAGGATGGGGATGGCGACCCCCATACGCCCCTGAGCGAACTTGAGCCATCGTCGGTACCTGAGGGCAGTCAGCCAGCCCCCTCGACTGGCTTTGATACGGCTGGTACGTTGGAATCCTGGGCCTTGCCTGGATGGTGTACCTGAATCCCATGGTTTTTTCCCATGCGTGGGCCCAAGTGCCGAGCTCGAGCGACTCACAGAGCCCGGCGTCTTTACAGCTGCTCTTCAACGGGCTTATGAGGAAGGCCCTGCGGTTGTTAAAACCAAGAAAAAGCGGAAGAAGAAGAAACCAAAGGTGCGACTTGACGTTCCTGATCTGTGCGCAGAGTCATCGTCGCGTGGACGATCAAGGAAAAGATGGAATATCGGGCAACTCGCCAGGTCAGAGCAAGTTGAAGCTCATCATTCATCATATCCGCTGTTTTCCAGACCACATTGGCTTCCACGCCGGCCAAGGCACCTGATGGCGTGTCTCTTGGCTCCACAACACCAGAGCAGCTCATTGCTGAGGCACAGAACCTTTGTGGCTCTGAGCTTGTTGTAGATTTAGGCGGCCTGCCCGAGACCGAGGAAGAGGCTGATGGGATGGAGGCCGTCACTTCAGGAAATGTGGCGGTAGAGCCTGCGGCTCCAGAGACCGAGGCGTCAGTGGTACGATCGTCTGAGGCGTTAGGGGTACGATCGTCTGAGGCGTCAGTGGTACGATCGTCTGAGGCGGGTTCCTCACCACCAAAAGCGGCAGTACCTCAAATTGAGGAGGTACAGCCTTCGTGGGAAGAATCATCGCCGGTTCTGACAGCCAAGTCAGTCGTGGCCGAGAACGACTCGCCAGAAAATGCCGACTCATCAGCGAGCTGGCATGAAGATAGACCTGGATCTGCCTCGGAGTTGGGTCTTGAGGCCGCGTTGGCAGAGGCGGCCACAACGACCACACCCACGCCGGTGGCATCTGAGGCAGGTGGGGAGGCACCTGAGCTTGCCGGAGTGACTCGTCCAAGCACGGGTCGCTCGTCCATCTCCAGCTTTGCAACCATTCAGCGCGAAACATCGGAGCGTGACGCGGACGAGCTGAATCTCACCAATAGCCAACAAGAAGCGGGCCAGCAGACGGATGACACGCCGACAGGCACAGTCGCATCAGACACAGCACCGAAGATGGCAAACCCTTTGGATGCGAACTCGCCGTTGGAGGCCAGCACCACCATCGGTGCCGCTGCAACATCTACAGCGCCAGCAGCTCAAGTCGAGGAACGCGCGTCTCTTTCTGAGAACTTGTCCGCGGCTCCCAAGGATGAATCCCCATCACATGCGTCAATTGGCAAGCATGACCAAGCCGCTCCATCTGGGGAAGACGTGAGGAAGGAGCGGCCGGATCCGGCGGACCAGGTGGTTCAGGTGGATCAGGCGGACCAGGTGGATCAGGCGGATCAGGCAGATCAGGCAGATCCAGCAGATCCAGCAGATCCAGCAGATCCAGCAGATCAAGCAGATCCAGCAGATCCAGCAGATCAGGCGTCGTACGTGGCTGAGCAGCGCTTCGTGGGCCACGTTAAGCCATCCGGCGAGCTTGAGCCAGGATCGCCAGGGAGTATTACAGATGGCACACCTGTTGAGAGATTGCATTCTGGGGCCAGCAGTCCGGACATTGAGCAACTGCTCTCAGAGGCCGCGACAGCCAATCTGATTCCTGTCAAGCGATCTAGCATTGTGAATTTGGCGCCCGAGACACCCGATTCGATCAACAGTCAAGTCGCGATGTCATCCGAGCAAGGCGAACCATCTCCAACAGACTCGGGCTCGGAAATTCCCTCAGTGTCTACCGCCCCGCCACTCAAGTCATGTCAAGTGACTGGGCCGCCCACTGCGTCAACTGCTGCAGCCGAGAGCACAGCCAATTCCGCCATGCACTCAGATGGCGCACGTTCACCAGCGGGGAGTCGCGCGCCGGTGTCGAGCGACTGCTATGCCACTCCCATGAGCACGGGGACCAGTGCGGGCAGTAATTTTGATGATCGCCTCCGCAACATTGTCTTCAGTGACAAGAAGGCTGAAAGGTTCGCGCCTGCTTGTGCCTGCAACAACCCCCGCGTTGTCGCTAGATGGAATATTTTTCGACTCATGTCCCTGGGCTACTGATTTTAGGGACAGGGATACACGCTCTCCGCGGGATGCCACTGCAACCACGCCAGTCCTTGCTGAGCGGTGTGTTAAACTGGTGACCAAAGGGCCGCATTCCTAACCAATGCTTCGTCTTGGACGCTGTCACATCCTGGGCTCTGCCTTGTCCTTTCTCACGAGTAGACCCGTGTCTAGGGCGCGAGGTCTCGTGACCTCAGTTTCCGAGGAAGATGGAGACTTTGTTGAAGTGAGCACCGACCTACCCGAGAACGTAGGTGCCATCTGTTGGGGACCACGGCTGCCTGTTGGTTGGCCCGTCGAGGCTGTTGCTGCGTCCTTGGCGCTCACTTGCCTGGTCTCTTCATTGTAATTAGGTCATGCAGTCAATCATGGCGTCGACACACCCTGCGTTCAAGTCGCTGGACGACCATTCAGCGATGCCTACGCCGGTCAAGCAGCAGCGCGATCTGGGCATGGCACAGTTGCTAGATCTTCAGCACTTTGAGGCGGTGATCACGGCCAACGGTGGCGCAGAGTTTGAACACAAGGGCCACATTTTTCAATTCCGAGACGCGACGACGGGGTCGGAAGATTGCGAGGTCTGCAAGCGCCCACTCAAAGTCATCATCAAAGCCTCTCGACGACTCCAGTGCTGCGGATGCAACATCAACGTGCACAAGCGATGTCACCAACAGCTGGAACGCCCTTGTATCAAGAATCGCTTCCCGCATGGATTCCCATCGTTGGTGACGAGCATATGCCCCAATCACGGACTGGGTGCTCAAGAGTACCAGTGCGAGGAGTGCAAGACCCAGCTGGCGTTTTCGGGCATGTTTGCAGAGCCCCACTTGTGCGATTACTCGGGGCGCTACTATTGCAGTGCCTGTTTCAAGGCCGCACGCTCAGTCACACCTGCACGGGTCGTGCTATCATGGGATTTTAGTAAGCAGACGATGAGCCAGACAAGTCGTGACTTGATTGTGGCGCAGATGGACAAACCTTTGTTGAATCTTCGAGAGCTCAACGCGAGTCTCTTTGGCCACGTCGAGTCTCTATTTCGAGCGCGACACCTGCGCCGGCGCCTGTATCGGATGGCGAGCTATGTGGTGTCCTGTTCGCACGCGCAGGAGGAGCGGTTGCTGCGGAGCTTGCGAGAGCGACCCCATTTTGTGGCGCGATCGCAGATGTGGAGTCTGGTTGACCTGATAGAGCTGCACAGGGGAGATCTGCTCAAGGTCCTGGAGGAGGTCGCGGACAAGTGTGAGAAACACATTCGGGCAACGTGTGAGCGCTGTACGCAGCTGGGCGACCACTGTGAGCTGTGTGGGAATAGCCGACAGCTGTTTGCATTTGATGACGATGTGATACGGTGCGAAGGTTGCAACACGCTGTACCATCAGCAGTGCTACACAGGGCCGGCGGCGTGTCGTCGTTGTCAGCGAATGCGATTGCGTGAAGCTTCTTAAGTGTGCCCCCTTTTTGGAGGGCTGTTCCTGCCTTTGGGGACGGCGACATGTTTAAGGGATCGCTAGCGGTGTTGAACATTGACATCCGAATGTAAATTTTGTTATCATGTCTTCCTTGATGGGGGGTTTTTTTTTTTGACTGTTGATACTTTTGAATGTTTTATGGCATGATGGCCGACCTGTAGATGACTCACTGCTTTTCTGTCAATTATAAGCCAAAATGGCACAGGCCCAAAGGCACGACCGCATTTGGACGGTATCTGCAATGAAGGCGAAGAGGGCGTGCATTCAAGAACGCGCCATTTTGATTCCAACCAACAAGTGTAGACAACAGGGTCCCCCAAATGCACACAACAAAGCTTGCCTCAAATAGTAGGCAGTGCAGAAGAAGGACAATACTTCTACTGGTACATTGTCTCAAGGAGGAGGCATGTGGCTGAGGGCCATCCGCGCTCGGCGCGGTAAAACATGCCTTTATTCTTTCTTTCACACCAAAAACGAACTACAAATCGGCTGACACGGCCAGTGCCTCGGCTGTTTCAGAGCCATCGGCACGGACAAAGGCCGGACGGAAGACCTTGACAAGGTTACAAAAGGCAGCTCGATGTGCGGCAGAGAGGGAGGGGTGCGAGGCAGCAAGCTGAGTCTGCATGCACTTGAGGGCGTTGCGAAGAAGGCGGGCCTTTTGGGTGGGAAGGGCGTGGGCCAAGTTGGTGTACGCCTGGGCCGTCTCGGACGACGCGGCGTGGGCCCGCGCGAGGGTGTCGGCGCAGAGTTTGTTCAAATTCTGGCCGAGGAGCATGATGGTGAAGCGAGCAGTTTCGCGCAGCTGCTCGAGACCAACTTGACCGGCTTGCAGATTAGTTTCAAGCACGGCAAGGGTATTCCGGGCGAGGGCTTCGGCAAGCTGCTCGCAGGCCTGGGTGACCCCGGCCTCTGGGGTCGGGGCAGAGGCCAAGCAAGCCCTGGTGTCGACGAACAAAGAGCAGGCGGGCGTTGGCGGGACAGCATTGCGCGGAGGGTTGGGCTGAGCAGGCACGTGGAGGTTCAGGGCCGGCCGGTTGCGCGAAGCATCCACGCGAGTGGCAGCAGTGGTGGTGCTTGCGGGCGGGGTAATGGGGGAGCAGGCGCCGGCATCTTCCTCCGCATTCGCCGCCGGGCCGCGACCCGCTTCGTCTTGTTGGACATTGTCCGTGGTCATGGTGACTGAGGCGGCTGATTCGGAGTGAACGCTGTGTTCGGCGAGGGTGGGGGCGAGGTCTAAGACGCGCTTGACGCGCTTGGGAGGCAGAAAGTGTTCATGCTGTTCTGTGGTCGGGGTCAGGTCCTCGGGTCCGGGCTGCTCGTGGGCGGCGGCCCTTGTCACGGCGGATCGGGCAGCCCCCAGGCGGAGATGGCGGCGTGCGGCGTAGACTACCATGTCGGTCACGACTTTGCTCACGTCAGGACGGGCCAGGGCTTCGATGAGCTCTGGGTCCGGGGCGAGGGAGGCAAAGGTGATGCCGACATGGGCGAGGGCTCGCTGCATGCGGCGATGGCAGAGCAGAGGAG